GATGTGTTGAGAAAAGTTAAAATTATCATAAATTGTGCGAAACCTAGCTTCTTAGAACAAAATATTGGTTTTTCAGGTACAATAACGTGTCAAATACAGCAAATCGATAAGGAAAACAAGGCTGGATCGAGGACAGAGAGACGCGATGGACGCAAGGCCAAGATAGTTGTGAAAAAAGAAGATCTACCTGTCGAATGAGTGTATTTTATGGCTGGACTCACAGTGGACACTCTTTTTCAAACTGCCATACGAAAAGTCGCCGTTAAAAGGTCGATGAATTCTATCACGCTGTAAGTCTTTTCCATTGTCATCTCAGTAGCCTTTCGACGTGAACTTCTTGGTTAGTGTGCGGGCCAGGAGATCACAATATCCGCATCAAATTCAAATTTCAGATTGCATCACATAACTGAAAAGTCATTGTCCCGGTTGTATAATCCACCCCACTAGCAGAAGGAATTGCTGAGAAGAAGAAAATACGAGAGATGTTGCCACACGAAGCTCAGCAGTTTCAACCAACCAAGAATTTGTCGTCGTGGTGCTGCACAGATCATCACTGTTTTGTTGACACTCCCGCAGAGATGCGCCTCGTCCAGAACAAGTTATTCTGGATTTTCGCGGTCAGTGTACTTGCTCGAACTTCACGTTACTCTCTGCACTAACTTCATTTTGTAGGTTGGCTGTCATCGTTTCCTGAATTGATCCGACGTGCCAAGTTCTACTAAACAAAAAAAGTACCAATGCAATTGGAGATTTCAGCAAAGCTAATATGTTCAATAAAAACATTCTCCAATCAAATGGATGTTGGCTTTGTAAGATGTCGCTATTGGTCGAGGTTCAGTCGATTTAGAACAATGTGGTGTTTCTGGAAGACTCTATGTTCGTCAAATAGCGTAGCAAGTTGAAGTTCGTCGTGTCAGGCAAGGGATGCTCTACGAGCCGACGTCGGAACCCAGTTGACAATCGAACTAACGTCACTGTCTCAAGTCTAAAAAGTGAGTTTTTCGTTCCCAAGCGCAAATTGCGGAAGACTATTGAAACCAATTCCGAGAGGATCAAGACTTGAGTGTAACGTACCGACTAAGTAACGATTGAGCTGATTGTTGGATAATCGGCTCCACTAGCAGAAGGAATTGCTGAAAAGAAGCAAATACGAAAGTTGTTGACACACGAAGCTCAATAGTTTGAACTAAGCAAGAGAATTTGTGGCCATTGTACGAAACAGATCATCACTATTCCGTGTATATTTTTACAGTGGTTTGTTTTGTCCGAAACAGAATAAGCTGGATTTTTGCGGTTAATATACTTGTGTGAACTTCCCCAAGTCATATCGAGCAAAAAATGTAATTGAAAATTAAACCGGAGCTAATAAGCTAAACAGAAATTATTTTCAGGTTATCCACCTTCTCTGACACTGAGACAATCATTGCAGTATCCAATTGCTCATAGAAACGCCGTGAAGATGATTTTTTCATAAACCAATTAAAGTTCAGCAATGTGATTTGTGGACGAGGAATGGAAACCCTCCACTACGTCCCGAGTGAAGATTGAGCTACAGAAATGTGAAATTCAATTCAAATTGGATTTTTACGATGTCGTTGTCTGTTGATGTGGAGTCGAAACAGGATGATATTACTGAAGCAATTGGTGCGGTGATTCTGTTATGCTCTCTGCTCAAAAAATACTATGGAAAATCATCGTTAAACTGGCGAAAATGAGTTTAAACAAATGAAAATGTTATGTACTTTGACAATTCAGATAGCGTCGTCTCAATAGCAAAAATGCTACCGAGAAGCCAGTTTTCCAATAGTTTTGGAAACCAACTTTCAGAGGACCGAGCCGAGACAGTTTTGCACCTAGAAGAACGAGAGAAATGGAACCAGCTTTTAATAAATGTGATTTTTGAAGTAGTGAGGACCACGTCAAAACTGCATCACGCCCGGATTCAAGTCTACAGGAGGATGAGAACGATGTCAATTTCAATGGAGTTTTGTTTCGTATATGCGCTGAAATGGACAACAAACAACCCCATGGTGGCAATTTCGTTGCGACTCTGCTTCAAGCAATCGATGTCGTTCAACCAAAACAGAGTAATACTAATGGAGTAGTCGCTGTGGCCTGACTCTTGTCGTCTATTCTTTTCACGATTCTATCGACAATTGATGTAAAGCTCAGAAATCGTGTAGTGAGTTTTATACAGAGAAAATTCGTAAAATGTTTTTCATTATTTCAGATCTACTGTTTCGAAAATTATACTCCTCCTGTGATAAATCAGATGAACGAATTCGGTTTTGAAAGCCAACTGTGGAACCAGTAGCTAATTTTTTTAATACGAACCAGCTTCAGGAAGTCCGTGTGCAGGCATTGTTTTACCCCAAAGACAGCAAGAGAGAGGTGATCTTCTCGGCAATATTCACCCATGACGACAGTTAGTCCGTGAAAATCATCAGCAACAAAAAAATCAGCTGAAAATGCTAAAATTCGTAATCAATCGTCATTTACTTCGAACTGGTCCGATGTCTCTTCATACAATTGGGAATTTATTGAGATGTGATTCTGCGATTTTCTTCTAAAATGTGAGTTTTACGGTAAACAATTCAAACTATCGAAACCTTCAACTTCAAAGAAAAAAAAGATTCGAACTGCCCCGCCCAATTTCGAACAGAAAAACGTCTTTCAAAGCTTAACTGTGGATACTTTCCAATTTTTGAACTCGAAATTGAATTTTGAGTTGGTTTCAGTCTGAATTTAACAGAATTCTTCTGAAAACCAGAAGAAATTCTATTTCTAACCGAAGGCGCATTGTTTTCCACTTTTCGTTGGTCTCGGCACGAACAAGCGACCTGTGTTTTTGCTCTCTTGCGTTTGTGTGCTCTCTCATTTTCGATTTTAGTGGGAGTTCAAAAAATACTCTTGTGGCGGTCTCAATTCATATGAAACAAAATTAAAGAATAAACAGAAACAAAACAGGAAAAATTGATAACCACGAGAAAAATAGGTTGCGACTGCAGTACATATGCGTAAAGAATATCATAAACTCACTTGGGTTCAAGCCAATGGGTCAAAAATCGCGCCCCAGTAAACGTGAGATTTTAGAAAAAATTCGCTGCTGAATTATGTGACTGAGGATCAAACTTTTAAACGTTGCACGAAAAAATCACGCGTTGCAACTCGTTGATTAAAACTAATTAGGTCAAAAACTTGGAAATTATTAAATTTCTTCTGGCCTAAAAGTTATTTGAGGCGCGTTTTTTGACCCGTTGGCTTAAACCAAAGTGTAAACTGATTATCATAATCTGGAATGCTTAAAAAAAATGTCAGTTGTTCAGGTACAATAACGTGTCAACTACAAAAAATCAATAAAGGAAGCAAGGATGAATCGAGAACAAAGAGAAAAAAGCTGCCTGTTGAAGAAATGCAATCTATGGCTGAAATTATAGAGGAAACTATTTTTTGAATTGTTATCAGCAAAGTCGTCGGTTCGGTGCTCGATAAATTCTACCAATCGGTAAGTCTTTTTTCATGGCTTTTCAGTAGCCTGCCGTTTGAGATTAGTATACAAGTCAAGAGATCCCACCCAATTTAAATTTAAGATCACACCACATAACTGAGAAGCCATCAAGCTGATTGTTGGAGAAACCGCTCCACTAACAGAACGAACTGATGAGAAAAAGCAAATACGAAATATGTTGCCAGACGGAGCTCAGCAATTTGAATCAAACCGTAGGATCTGTCGTCATTGTGCTCTATCACTACTCTGTGCATACGTCCCCAGTGATGTGCTCCGTTCATAACAAGATATGCTGGATTTTCGCGGTTAGTATACTTGTTCGAACTTCACGTTACTCTCCGCACTTATTTCATTTTGTAGGTTGATTGTAATCGTTTGCTGAATTCATCCGTCGTGCCACGCTTTACCAAACAAAAAAGTACCCTAGCGATTGGAAAATACAACAAAACTAATATGGCCAATAAATACATTTCTCCAATCAAACGGATGTTGGATTTGTACGATGTCGCTATAGGCCGAATTTCAGCGAAAGGATCCAACGTCATTCTGCTACACCAATTATCACTACTTTGTGCAGTTTTCCATAATGCCGATCTCCATCCAGGACAAACTAATCTATTCCGGACTTTGTGGTTAGTGTACTTGCTTAAACTTCATGTTACTCGTCGTCGTGTGCTGACAACATCTGACGTCCTTTCTGGAGGAAAAACGATGAATTACGCTGTGAAAATTATATCGGTTCAAGCTGAACAAAAATCTCGTAACAAATCCGGTTAGAGGAAAATTGAGAAAATCATTGAAATAGAAATTAATTTCAGATCATCCACCTTCTCGGACATTCGGGGGATCCGTGGCAGAATCCGATTGTTCAGTGAAACTACATGAAGATGATGCAAACCTGGATTGAAATTCAAATTGTGAACATGGATTAACATTGCCGACTTTTTACAATTTTGCTAATCGTCAGCGACGTTTAGTCAAAGCAGAATGATACCAATGAAGCAATCGCTTCTGTGCTTCCGTAAAGTTTTATGTCTATCAATTCGCACAAAAAACCGTGAAGCTTGAGAAAGTGAGTTTTATAAAGAGAAGAATTAATACCATAAATTCCAAAGTTTCAGATCCATCGTCTCAACATCAAGACTCCTCCTGTGATAAACCTTCTTCGCATAGATACTCGATTTCAATTTTGAGAACAAACTAAGGAAGCAGGCGCCATTTTTTTCAATATTTTTTGAAACCAACTTTGAGAAAACCAAGCCTAAACACTGTTGTGCTTTCAAAACAGACAAGAAGAAGTGAACTTAATAACGATCATTACCCATGATCACAGCAACTCAAGTTCCACCGAAATTTACAACAAGGCGAGCTGGGAGGAATGCAAATCATGATCAATCATCATATACTTCAAGTTGATCCTATTCCTCTGTAAAAAGTTGTACAATATGTTTAAAAGAACAGCCGAGAACAACTTTGAAAGCTTCTGTTCGGCATGACTCGCGCAACCAGCCGACATCAAAAGCTGATCGACAATGTGGAGACTCTAGTGAACAAATGGGAATCAATTGAGCCTCGGAGGTGAGTTTTTTACGGAGGGAAACGGTGTTCTATCTTTTTCAATATTTCAGATCCAATATTTCGAGAGTAACTCCTCTGGTGACGAATCTACGCGAAGAAACAGGAATCCACATTTTTGGGTAAAAGGCGGCAACACATAAAGAGAGGCAAAGCTGGAGCGACTGACAATGGTCCTATTTGGAAAAACTTATTTTCGGTGAAGAGCATTGCAAAAGAACCGGAAGCCATCGAAGAAAAAAGAATCCTGGCACTGAGAACAAGAACATCTGAAAATAGTGACACCTATGCGCCATCTTCACAGGGTTCAGATCTCCATAAATACCAATTCTCTTGTGCGGTTGTCAGCAACGATGTGAGTTATTCCAACTTCTTGAAAAATCAAAAGCTGAAACTGTATCGCCGCTTAGCGTGTCAAAACGTTTTACTGCTCTTGCACATTCACAAAGCCTGAAAAAAGTTTTCTTGAAACCAATCAAGAATTCTCAGATTTAAAATTAATTTTCAAGTTCTTAGTCTGTGTATATTTTTGATATTTGTAGTCAAAAACTGTATAAAATATTATTTCCGCTGAGAATTCAACAAATGTTTTCCAAAATCTGAAAATGTTCATTTATAATCAAGGCACATTTTTTGCTTGTCGTTTGTCTCGGCAGAAACTGAGCCGGCCATTTTTTTGCACGTCTTCTCTCATGTGTTTGCGTCTTTATTAGGAAATTTTAGTGGGATTTCGAAAATTAATTTTGTGGCTCTCTCAATTCAAACAAAAACTAAATGCATGTTTTGTTTCAGGTGAATGGCGATTCGAACACAGAAAAATTCAGAACAATTTTAATAGTCCTACGGAAGCAAATCAAGATGGAAAAGAGATGCATGAAACGAAATGTGAACGATGAAGGCAAGAATAGCGAGGCCCGAGTGGAGAGGAAAAAGCTTTTCACAAGTAGAATAATTTAATATCATTTCACTGGCCGTCCTCAGAAAAACGCGTTGTTTCGATATTGCGCAAAATTCTCTGTGAGTTTTTTTCTCTTTCAACTTCAGTAGGAAGCCGACAATACCACTGCCAGACATAAGCTCAGAAAACTCCCAGCAACAAATCCAAGTTTTAGAACATACCCTGCTGATCGAACGCCAAGTCGAATATCGGACGTTCCTCTTTATTAACAGAACGCTGCTGACGAGAAGAAGTCGCAGAGAGTAATTATAAAGTCCCAACGGTTCCACACAAACAATCAAGTCCGCAGTTACCGACCTCTAGCTGACGTAGGATGCAATTTCAACACTTATTGAGAGAGAATGATGATCTAAAACTTCGTCTAAAAGTGATGATCTAAAAATTCGTCTAAAACAGAATAGACTGGAATTTTGCGGTTAGTAAGCTAGCTGGAACTTCACGATACTCTCTGTCAAAATTTATTTCGCAGGTCAGTTGTCGTTTTTTGCTGAAAACATGTGAAGTTCTTCCGGACAGAACATTCGAGTACATTTTCACAAGCTTCTGTTTGGCAAGATATGCGCAACCAGTTAATATTGAAAGCTGATCGACAAAGTGGAGACTATTGTACAAATGGGAAGTTCTTTAGTCTGGAAGGTGAGTTATTTATGAAGGGAAGTTGTGTTCTATCTTTCAATATAGGAATTCACAACTTTGAGAGGAAATATCGAGAAGACGACACAGAAAGATTGACAGAAGATGGATCCACTGATGATGAACAAGCTTTATACGTGTTGTCGACTGTTGAAAACGTGGCGAACGATTTCAGAATTCCCAGAAAATTCTGTTTTCCTTCCAGCTGAAAGAAAACGAGAAACAACCACTCTATAAAAACACAGTGTCGCGTCAGGTGAGAATTGTACAACCAGTCGATATCAGAAGATAATTGGGAGAATTGGGACTCTATTGAACAATCGGGATGCTTTCAAGTCTGGGAAGTGAATTCTTCGAGCAGAGAAACTGTTCTATCTTTCTCAATATTTCAGATCCATTGTCTCAAGAGAAGCTCCTCCTGTGACGAATCTGCGCAAAGAAACAGGAATTCACAACTGTAGGAAGAAATATGGAGAAATCGTTTGCCTTTCAACATACAGGAAAATCATAATCATTGAGATGCTATGCAGCAGGCCAATGTGAGTTTTCCTTCAAATTTCTGCTAAACAAACAAAATTCCGAACTCGTGTTCAAAAAATGTGGCTTTCGCTGAGAAAACGTCTCCAGTATTTCAGGTCCAAGCTCTCAAGCATGAGACTACTGTTGTGACGAATCTGCCCGAAGAAACAGGAAATCAATCTTGAGAGCGAACTGTGAGAAAAAAACTGATTTTTTCGATGACCGTGATCAACGATTTCGAAAGGACCAAACCCGGAGAGTAATGCACCTGAAGAGAAGAGTGTAATCGTGAAAAATAATTTCCTTGAAGTTCGCCGAACTTCAAGGAAATTGAAATTGAAGTTCAAGTTGAAGTTTGCCATCCATTTCGATTGCAACTTGTTTGGTGCTTAGAGAAGGAATAGAAGCCATAGAGTATAGCAGAATCCAGAGACTGAAGCCAAGATAGTGACATCCATGCGCAAGTATCACATGATTCAGGTTTCGTCCAAGATCAATACTCTTCCGCATTTTTCATCAACGATGTGAGTTATTTCCATTTCTGAAAAAATTTCCCTGCTGTCTCTTACCCATAGTCTGAAAAAGTTGATTTTTGAAACTTATCAGGAGTCCTTGAATTTTCTATCAATTTTCAACAATTCTGTCTGTGATGTTGTTATAGAAACTTTATCAAGTACACTTTTGATGAAAATGGCCCGCTCATTTTTTGCACGTCTTCTCTCATGTTTGCGTCCCCGCTAGGGAATTTTAGTGGGAGTTCAAAAAATAATTTTCCCGCTGTCTGAATCCAAACGGAAACAAATTAAATGTTTTTCAGGTGACATGACGATTCGACCGCAAAAAAAAATTAACAACGTTCATTAAAATAAATTGTCCTACGGAATCGGATGAATATTAAAAAAAATCCTCCATCCAAACTTGAAGCACCAACGGAGCACCAGATTGTTTGGAGAAACACTAAGAAAACATTGAGAATCTTAATTTGGACGTCAAACCAGATGATCACCACACGATTCGAAGATGAGGAAGTGTATCGTGGAAACTGCGTAACGTCCTGAACGAAGAATGAGGAATATCACTAACAATGTCGCTACACTGCCGTCGTTTAATCATCATGCGCATCGAAATTGGAGTCTGGTTTTGGAGAGAAATTTGTGGAATCTAATTTCGAGACGATCAAGGGCAGCAGACAATTTTTCTTAAGAATGTGAGTTCTCAAAACAAAATTTCAAAACACCTGAAAACAAAGCTTATAATACAAAATTTCGAATAGACCTGCGACCTTTCAAACGAAAGAGGATTCCTATGATCTACAGGTTCTAATTTTTTTTATCTCAAAATGCGTTTTTGAATAGTTTCAGCTTTGAATTTTACACAATTCATTCAATAACCAAAAAACTTACATTTTCGATCAAAGGCGCATTGTTCTTTGGCTCTTTGCTGGTATCGCCACAAAAGTTCATCTGCGCGTCTGTGTGTTTGCGTCTTCACCCTAAGATTTTTAGCGAGAGTTTAAAAAAACAATTTTCCGACTGTCTAAAATTTAACTAAAACGTGATTCAAAAGATAAATAAAAAACGAAACATGAAAAATTGAAAATCTAATAAAAATCAGGTGGCGACGGCAGTACGGATGCGTTAAGAAAATTTAAAATTTTTATAAGTCCTAGCTCCTTAGAACAAAACATTAGTTTTTCAGCTACAGCAACGTGTCAACTGCAGAAAATCAATACAGAAGATGCAGCACTGAAAACTAAGAAAAACTATGGAAACGAGACCCCATAGTCGTGAAAAAAGGAAAGCTATCTGTTGAAACAAAGCGTTTCATAGTTGAAATTTTAATAGACTCTCTTTTACGAGCTATCATCAGGAAATTCGCCGTTACGAAGCTCGATAAATTCTATCACCCTGTAAGTATTTTTCCTTGGCGGTTTGTACGCAAGTGAGGAGATTATAAGCTCACCAAATTCAATTTTCAGATCTCAATTTGTTCCTGAGAAAAAAGCGAGCTGCGTGTTGAACAATGCTCTCTATCAACAAAAATAGGAAACAGACGACAATTGGAAACGGAGAAGATTTCGTCGTACTAACCCAACAATTTGAACTCAACAAGAGGATCCGTAGTCATTGTGCTACATCAATCATCACTTCCTCGTGCCGTTTGTTGCAGTGATGTGCTCGAACTTCATGTTACTCTCCGCACTAATTCCATTTTGCAGGTTTATTGTCCTCGTGTGCTGAATTCACCTGACTTGCCTAGTCTTACTGATCAAAAAGAAAATCCCATTGCAATTGGAAATTCAAGCGGATTTCATGAGTTCAATTAATTGAAAACCAAACATAGTGAGGTGAGAAAGTTCTAAGAAAAAAACAAAATAAAAGTTATTTTCAGAATATCCACCTTCTCTGACCATTGGGACGTCATTGCAGCATCCGACTGATTCGAAATCTGCCATGATAAGATTTCAAACCTCGCATTCGATTCCAACAATATGAATATGGAGCCCGGAGTTACACTGTGAACATTGCATCACGTCCTTTATGAAAAATTACGGTAGAATACCAACATTATTCAATCAGATGGAAATCAGTTTTGTACGATGTTGCGTTCTGTCGGCGTTTAGTAGTTATATCAACGGAACAATCGATGCGGTGTTTCCGTGATGTTCTGCAAATATCAAATGACATTAAAACTGATTTGAAGCTTGAGAAAGTGGGTTTTACATCTACAGAAGAAAATGTATACCATAAATTCCAATATTTCAGATCCGTCTTCGTAAAACCAAGACTCTTCCTGGGATGGACCTTCTTGCATAACTGGGATTCAATTTTGAGAGTGCATTATCGGAGCGGAAGCCAATTTTTTAAATCGTTTTGAGAACCAATTCTAAGAGGACCAAGCCCAGGCAGTGTTGTACCTGGAAGAAATGAAGAACTGGAACCATATAATGAAAATGTGACTTCTAAAATGGAGAGCTCAAAGTCGAAGTTGCATCACGTCCGGAATCAAGTCTACAGGATGGTGAGAACGATTTCAACTTCAATGAAGATCGGTTTCGTATCAGCGATGAAGAACGAATAAATTAGGGACGGAAAATCGGTTTCAATGCAGGTCTGCCTCGTACAACTTGTCTATCGGTGTCGTTCAACCCAAACAGAATGACATCAATGGAATGGTGGCCATGTGGTTCTCACAATTCCATCGAAAACTAATTTGAAGCTCTGAAATCGTGTAGTGGGTTTTAAACATAGAACATTTTGTATAATTTTTTTAAACTTTTTCAGATCTATTGTTTCAAAAGTGATATGCCTCTCGTGATGAATCAAATACATTGAAATTCTAATTTGAAAGCTAACTGTGGAAGAAGAACCTTATTTCATCAATGAATTTGCGATCCGATTTCGAGAAGATCTAGCCCAGACAATGCTGTGCCTTAAAGAGAGCAAAAAAAAGATATCCGTGACAAACACCATTAATGATCACAGCTACTCAACCTTCGCGAGACGATGAATTTCCCCAGAGAAGCAAACCGCTGAAAAAGAAAGCAGAAACTGAACACATTCAAATTGATCCGATGCCCTTCCACGAAATAGTAAAATTATTAAGATGTGAATTTGCAGTTTTCTTCTAAAATGTGAGTTTTAAAAAAAATCCAAATGGTCGAAACCTGAAACTTTGACAACACGTTTGGAACTGCCCTGTCAAATTTTGAACAGAAAACCGTTTTAAAAGCTCAACTGTAAATATTTCCCTATTTTTCGAATTTTAAATTTAATCTTCAGTTGGCTTTAGTCTCAATTCAACAGAATTTTTAGGGAAACTGAGAGAAATTCCATATTCAATCAAAGGCGCATTGCTTTTTCATTCCTCGTTGGCTTCGACACGAATAAGCGGCATGTGTATTTTTCTCTTGAGTTTTTTGTGCTATCTCATTAGGAAATTGTACAAATTTTAGCGGTAGTTTAAAAAATGATTTTGTATCTGTCTGAATTCAGAAAATATTGAAATTTAGGTAAAATTTGAAAAAAAAAACCGGAAAAAAGCTGTAGATACTTGTGAAAAAAGTAGTGATGGCATTACGGAAGCGTAGAGAT